GACGAAAGTTTTCATGAAAAAACTGTGACAAAATGTGATAAATTTCACTTTAAACATACGACGGACTCTCTATTTCATATGGCAGTCATAAACAGTAGAATAAAAAAGCGTTCTGAGCTCGATTGTCAAATTGAAAGCGTGTGGCTACAAATTATATTATAGTATTTGTTTTTCCAATAAACGATATAAATTTTTAGCTGCACATGACTGAACAATTTAAACATTTTTAGTATCAATATTAGCTGATAAGCAATTGGAATCAATTTACCTTTTTTTTTAGGGAAAAAAAGGATCATAATTAAGCTGTCTTACTTCAAATTTTGATTGCTGGCTTGTTAAACCCACTTCGTTTGTCGAAACCTTTCCAATATGTAATCAATGGCATTATGAAGTTTTTCCTGAAATATAAGACAGATTATTAAAATTAAGAACATTCCTAAATAACAACGTAAGAATGTTTGAAAATATTTTAAATCCACAAATAAAATATTCTTTATTTTCTAAATTTTAAAAAAAAAGCTACATTTTCATTGACTAGTTCAAATAAGTAGGAGTATGCATCTCTGCGTTAACTCATTATAAGATCATCATTGTATGTATACTTAACTTACCAATGCCTAAAGTTTTTAAATGTTAATAGGAAACAAACGAACTAAAAATAAATAAATAAACGCAATGAAGGACATTTTTTACATAAATGAGTGTCCAAGAGTAACAGTAAACAGTGCGCATGCGTCGTCATTGCATGCGTTGCTATGGCAACCGCTGCTGTTTGATGTTACTCTTGAAAAAAAAAATCCTAAAAAATTATCATATAGCAGCAGTCGCCGTAGCAAACCATGCCATGACGACGCCTGTGCACTGTTTACTGTTACTCTTGAACAATGAAGGTTGGCGTGTGATCCAGACAGTGGCGTACATGAACTTAGGTGCACCCCTTGCAAGATTTATAAATGCGCCCTATATTAGACTTGAACTTTTTTTTAAATTTTAATATGAAACAAAAACACGATGAAGATACATTCGGGTATTTATAATCATTATTTTTATTTTAATTTTAGTTAATAAGGAATTAATAATTGCGATTGAAAGGTGGATTTTAGTAAAGTACTAATGTGGAACATTGCATGCACTTCATAAATTACCACAGTTAAGTGAAATTCATCATAATAATACGAGAAATTTATTCACTTTATTACATTAATATTATCAAAGTTTAATTAAGAGTTATTATTATTTGAAAAGTGAATTAAAAAATATCTTACAAAGGAAAAAAAATATTTTTATTGTAATTTATATGTATGGGTGCACAACCCTTTCTTGATAATAAAAAAAAAGTCGCATGCCCAAGTACTTAGACATGTTTACTGCAATTATGATAATTTTTACACATTTAACGCAAATCTTTTTATCAGTCAACTTAATAAAATATTTGTATGAAATTAAACTGTTCTAATTGTTAAAATTTATTTTAAACTGAAAAGTACCAAACTTATACTTTTGAAAAGTAAAATATTGCTTTCTAATCGAAGAACAGATTTGTCACAAAAAAAAATATAACGACGGGGTAAAAGTGATGTTTGTTTTTTGTTTTTTTTTTTTTTTCATCATAGTACGTAATACTAAAGTTGATTTTAAAACCAATTACCTCTAATGTTCTTAAATGAAAATAAAAAATAGATAAATATTTTATTAAACAACATAAATGCGATTATATTTTAATTAAAAACAATGTATGGGGTCTAAAATTATTTAAAATAAAACTAAAGCATTATAGCTCTAAATAAGATTCAACATTGAGTTGAGGTTCGGTTCAGTATATTTTTAGCTTTAGGGCATTCATATTTAGTGAATTATAAGTGATTTTATGATTGTTAACTCTTAAAACTGTTTTTTAAAAGAAATTTTAGGCTGCAAAAAATTAGAAACTAAGTTCAAAAACAGTGTTAGAAACCCGTGATCGAATTTCGAGTGTTATAACCTTCCTCGTTGGTTATAACAATAGTGCATTAAAAACATTTAGAATTTAAGCAAAAATGTGGAAAAGCTTAACTGAAAAATAAAAAAAAGAAGAAAAACAATTGAAAAACAACTTGGATTGACGATGAAATCGGCACAAATAAAACACGTCGAAAGTTATCATTAAAATGCCTGATTCGAAAATCGCAAGTCGTTATAATATCAGATTAAAAATACCAAGATTTTCGTCATCCCGTGCAAAAGCGTAGCAGTAACTGTTGAAAAAACGATTAAAAAAATAAAAAGAACTCCTAGAGTTGCGGTGCTTCTTATATTTGTGTGCCATTTATTTGATGCACAAATAAAGTGCATATTTTAATGCATGATTCGAATGTCGTATTAATACATATTAAAATTCTCGAGCTTTACAAAATCATGTGGAAATGCTTAGCAATAAGTGCTTATAAAATTTTTTTAAAAAAATACTCCCATATTTCCCCTATAATTCTGCCTTAGTTCATTTTCAATAACTATTATTTTATAAATTTGACTTTTTATTTTTCTTAACTAATTCCATGTACTTCTTTTTTTTAGGGTGTTTTTTTTTCTTTAAAATCTTTAAAAAAACGCTGTCGGAGAAACTAGTCACGTTCAACTGTAGTAGTAATTTCAAATTTTAAGTATAGTACAAAAATAAGTTCAGGTCAAAACTAAACCATGAAGCTTCAAATGTTGATTTTTTTTTCCAAGGTATCAAAATGCCAACAAATTATGGCAGAATTACTTCACCGATCCGTAATCCTCTCATAATTTCTTTGCATATTAATATTTTTTAAATAGAAATCATCAATATTATATATATATATATATGTGTGTATATAAATATGTGTGTGTGTGCGTGTAAGTAAAACATAAAAAGCTTCAATTAATCTTTTTATGTTAGTTTCTTCGTTATAAAACAACTCCTAATTTATTACTACTTAATTCTTCAAATCGAAGCACTTTATAATACTTTTAAAAAAACCACATCCTGTTTCTAAATCTATTTTTAACCAACTATACATAAATTTAAATAAAGATATTTTTCCTTTTAAGCTTTGTGGGAATCGCGTGATCTATTTAATTAACCAATAGTAATTTCTGAGATTTCCCTCTCTTCCCTAAATAGAGGCATTTCCGGATTTTTTGCAAGATTTTCCCTACCAGAAAGACTGTTTGCTGATGGAGTAAACATCACTTCTTCGCTCCCACTCAACTAAGAATGATCA